CACATCCCACCCCTAGAGACAGTCTGTGAGCAGTGCATCCTTGTGTCCCTTGCCTGGTGGCCACTCTGGAAACCACATCCCACCCCTAGAGACAGGCTGTGAGCAGTGTATAGTCTTGTCCCTCCCAGCCTCTCTCACTGAGCCCATAGGTTCCTACTGGTTTTGCTGGGATGACTCAACTTCCCCAATACCCTGCACTCACCAATACCTGGATTCCACCAAGTTCAGAAAACCCCAACTTCCACCAAGCCATGGTGGAATGACTTGACCCATTTATACTCTACGCTCACAATTTTTGCCATGCCTGTGTTTCACCTATGCATTTATTTACTTAATAGTCTTTAATTTGAGTAGCAATGGGTCAGAAAATCAAGACCGAAAACCCACTTGGCCATTTACTAACTTTGTGTTGTTAGGCAAGTTTCTTACCCTCTCTGTGCCCCAGTTTCCTAATCTGTATAATGAGAACAATGACAGGAACTACTTCAGAGGGTTGCTGTGAGGCCTAAACGAGGGACGGCAGGTAAAGCGTTAGGACAGCACCTCACACGCGGTGCGCACTCGACAAGTGTTAGCGACCATTGCCATTACTTTTACATAGAAGGGAAACTATATTCCTACCTTAAATGGAAAAAGCAATACCACTTACCACAAATAGAGTTATAAAAATAAATACAATGAAAACAGTTATTAAACCTTAGCTAAGGCCTCTCTCATTTTGTCAAGAAGGGAAACAAACAGAAAGATGCTGAAGGCATACAAGGTTTAAATGAGGGTGACCAACCTTCTGGATTTGTCCAGGATGTGTCCCAATTTTAGCACTGAAAGTCCTGCTGCAACTCTCATTCCTGGGCAACCCTGGACGGTTGGGCGCCCTACTCAAATAGAGGCTTTCTCTCCTTCATTCAAAGAACTGAAAAGAACTCTAGAAAGAATAATGTTCTTAACAATGTGATGTTGTGTGTTTAAGGCTGGGTCAGTATCCCAGACACAATCACCTTGCAGAACAAGCCCACACCTCGGGCCATAGCCCACAAGCCCACCTCTGAGAGCAGAGTCTCCAAATGCTACAAACCTATGGAAAAGCCATCGTGTCACATGTGCCACTGAGACAGTCCCTGAAGAAAAATCACAGTTGTAAATGCCAAGAAGAGGAACGATGATTAAATTGTTGCACAGCTAAAATGACTCTATGGTATAAAACCATTAAAAATCATGTTTCTGAGAATGTTTAATGATACGGAAAAAAGGATTACATTGGAATGTTCAGTTTAAAAAAGCAGACTAAAAAAAACCACACATACACTAAGAGCCCAGTTTTACAAAATATAGAGAGATGTAAAGAAAGAAACACACCATAACATAAACAACGCTTATCGCTGAGGAATGGGATTCTGAAGGGATTTTTTTATTTCTTTGTATTTATTTCTGAATTTCTTATATTCATTTCTATATTTTCCAAGAAAGTCTAGCAAGGAACATGCATTATGTTTTTTGCTAGAAAAAACTGGATAAAAATTAAAAATAAAAAAGTAATAGGAAGAAAGTAGCCAGAGCTGATTAAGCCCAGCCTTAGCAGACCTTTTTTACATCTGTTGCCTGCTAGGAAAAATTTTTAGTCTGGCTGGGTGTGGTGGCTCACTCCTGTAATCCCAGACTTTGGGAGAATGAGATGGGCTGATCACCTGAGGTCAGGAGTTCAAGACCAACCTGGGCAACATGGCAAAACTCCGTTTTTACTAAAAATGTAAAAATTAGCCAGGCGTGGTGGTATGCACCTGTAACCCCAGGTACTCGGAAGGCTGAGTCATGAGAATCACTTGAACCTGGGAGGTGGGGATTGCATCACTGCCCTCCCGCCTGAGTGACAGAGCGAGACACTGTCTCAAAAAAAAAAGTTTTTTGTCTGACCAACTGTCCTCTGCTTTCCATCTCCCCTGGAGAAAGCCCTTGCAGAGAAGGCAGAGCTTGTCCAAGGTCATAGGATTGGGTTGCCTCTGCTAAGACTCTGGTTTGAAGGCCCATTGGTGAGGCTGCCCTGGGCTATCACCTGAACTCAAGGTCTGGCCTCCAAGGTCCACAGAGCTAGAGTGATATTCCCTTTCCCTCTATTTGTGATTTTCCCATGACTTGGACTGTGACACTCAATAACTGCCCCAGGACCTAAGTTACTAACCAGAGGCAGGGTGACATCTAATGCAGGAAGTGTCCACTTTGGACCATGGTGGTTTGAGCTGGCGTCCCTGCCCACCACCCACCAGCTGTATGTCTCTCTCCTCGTCCTAACATGAAGCTTAAGTTAAATAGCAGATCTAGCACAGATCCTGGCACAAAATAGGAGCTCAATTAAAACCAATTTTCTCCCCTCTTTCCTTTTACATTCACTACCTGAGAACACAGCTCTCCAACTGCCTCCTCTGACTCAGCTCCCCATGGGGCAGGGGCAGGGGCAGAGTCAGGGGGCTCTAAGCTCTCGTCTCCCTATCTACCCAGGCCTCTGCTTCCCCTCAGTCAGTAAACAGAATCCCTCTCCTGACCAATAAGCCCAGAGAGAGTGGCTGAGGGGCAGTCCAGGCTCTGTGAGGTGATCCAGAAGAGGAGGCAGGGCGGGAGGCCCCCACCTTGTATTCTCTCAAGTCAAACTAGACAAATCTGCTCATCAGGCACATGTACAAAATAAAACTGGAGCCCCGTGTAACCAGAACCCACTTATGAGCATTGTGTTCATTTATTCAGAAACGTGATTAAAGCTGAGCACGTCGTGTGCTCCCAGCATAATTCTAGGTGCTGGACACACAGTGGATGAGGATCAGGATAAGGTCTCTGCCCTTGCAGGGTTCAGTCTGCTCCTCCAGGAGGTGTGGGGTGCTTCTGTCCACCTCTGTCACAAAGGCTTAGAGGAAAGAGGCAGAGCTCTTGAGAAAGCTGAGAACCCATCATGTATAGTTCAGCCCATCGGGCAAGGAACCTGTCTTCCTCACACAGATGCACAGAACCCCTCATCCCCAAACCATGGGCCCCCTCAGCCTCCTGGGGATTCAGTTCCAAGTAGGTTTCACATGGCCCTAAATTCCTCACCCAAGATACTATTTAAATTCCCTGCTTTGTCACTTGGTGGCTAGGTGAGCTTGGACAAGTCATTTAACATCCCCTAGCTCCAGTGTCCTCACCTGGAGCAGTGAGGTAAAGACACATCCCTCATCGCATTCTGTGAGGGGCATGTGAAATCTCTCCCTCATGGAAAGCCTCAGATGCACTGTGTTGCAAGGGGGGCAGTGCTCTCCCGATGCACTCTGATACAGGGTCCCAGGCAGAGGGAAACCGAGCATGGAGGTCAAGAGCAGAGCCTTAGTCTGGGGCCGAGCACCAGCTGTGCAGCCTCTCTGTGCTAAAATGTCCTCATTTACAAGACCAGGGTAAAAAGAATGACCTCTGCTTTATACAGCTGTGGAAATCATGAGTTACTGTATGGGAAGGGAAACGGAGTTCAATGCATAGTAAGAACCATGTGTTTACTGTTTATTTTCTTCCTGAAACACACTTATGGGAATAACCAATCATGTTGTAGCAATTAGTACATGGTTATCCCTCCGGGATGATACAGGATACAGGAATGCCTCCTTACTTTCAAGTATCAAGGTAGATACATCTGCTGTGAATATAAACCACCCACCCAACACGCATGTGTACACACACACACACACCTCACAGCTGAATCATGGATGGCGCAAACATGATAATGACAACTGTTTTATCCATTAGATCAAAAATCACGAGACACAATTGGAGGCAGGCTTGTTCCCTGGCATTTATGGCTGTGTTGAGAGGCACGGGCACTGGAGTTAGAGTCATACAGACCTAAGTTTGAGACCTAGCTCCACTCCATCTTGGTGGAATGACCTTAGGCAAGTCACTTAACCTGAGTTCCCTCCCCCATAGGGCTGTTGGGGTAGGGGAGTGCAGGGGGATAGGTAATTTCACCTGCTTCACCAGCGTGTCATTGTCTCTTGGTGGGGGCAACACAATCCTTGGCAGGTCCTGACTCCCTTGGACCCCCAGCCTCACAGTCCTGGGAAGTTTCCTCCTTTTCCCACTCAGACCAGCTTTACTTCCCTGCGCCACTCCAGCAAGCAGCCTGAAGAGTGTTTTGAAACAGCAGCTGCCGAGTTCTGGGAGGCTGGAGTGCTGGCCAGGGGTCCCAGACCCCAGGCTGCTGTTTACTCAGACTGCAGAGCCTCTATAGCTTTTACAACTGTTTCCTGGGCAGGAGGGAGCAAGACAGCTGGGCCTCTCTCTGGTGTCTGGCTTCTATTGGCTTTTCCTCTGGAAAAAGCCAGTCCAAATGCTGCTTACTCTAGGAATCGCTTCAACCCAGAGGTAAGCAGGGCTGGGCACAGGCCGGGCACATGCAGCCCCTCTAGGCAGTAGGGAAGGGCACAGGTTAGGGAAAACTGGAGACAAAAGAAGAGACAGGGACAGAGATAAAAACAGGGGCTGTGACCGTAACGCAGGATGGGAAGGGCAGAGGCAGAAATAGGGGCAGGGTTAAGGATCTAGACAGGTCGCACCAGCACAGGTTCAAGGCAGAGGGGCACAGGGGGACAGAGAGAGACAGGAAGCACAGAGGGGAAAAAGCCCTGCCTAGCAGACTTGCCTAAGCTGGAGACCCCATTGCTGCCACAAAGGGGCCCACAGGAAAGCTAGGGGTTGCAATCACCCGTCAGGACCCACATTTTCACCAGGCTGTGCACACTTTCCAACAGCAAGCAAAAAAAGCACAATCTAGTTAAGTTAGGACTGGCAAGATTCGCTTCTGATTTAAAACTTAAGACAGCAACAATAAAGATACTCAGTTGAAATGCCACCCAACAAAGCCAGCTCCCCTGGAAAGTTAAAGTTTAGCGCCCCCATCCCAGCACCCTGTACCTTTAAGGAGGAGAAGGTTCCCTCCGCTTCCCAGCCGAAGAGGCAGGTTATTCTAGGATATAGGGGAGGCTTACCTAAAACTGAGTTATTCTCCTTTCCTCCTCTGGCCAGCCTCCCTTCACTCTGGGGAGCTTTTACCATTTAAGGTCAATGTTACATCTGGCTCCGGAGCTCTGAGCTGAGAAGCCTCTGGCTGCAGAACCTCGGCCGGCCGCACGCCTCCTCTGAGAGGGGCTGGGACTTAGAGCCGAGAGCTCCTCTGGGAGCCCCCCTCTGGCCTGGCTCCGGGGGAAAAAGGCAGGGAAAGCCGACCAGCCGACCTCAAGGCTCAGGGCAGGCTGGGCCTTTGGGGCAGCTGCTCACCCTGGGCCCCTCCAAAGGGTACCCACATGCAAGCAGATGGCAGTGCCCATGGCAACTCATGCCACTGGACACTGTCCTGGTCAGGCAAGGACAAGGGGACCCTACAGATCCACCCCCCACCACCCCTGCCTGGAGCCTCCAGCAAACATGTGAGCCTGGAGAAGACCCTGGCCCAGCGCCAAGAGAAACTGGGAATGGTTCCTGTCCTGGGGATTTGGGGGCAGGGGCTGCTCCCACTGCATTAAACTCTTGGGATTGCCAGAGAGAATGGCCTGGGAGATTCAGCTACTCCCCCACTTGGCACCAGCCCCAAGGGGTGTCAACCCTGCTCCTCCACTAAACAGCCTGTGGTCTTAACATCCTGGAGCCTCACTCTCCTCATCTCTAAAGTGGGAATAATAATGATCATGCCTAATTCACTGGGTAGGCAGGGGATTAAATGAGATACTATTCAAGTGTTTAACACAGTGCCAGCATCTTGTAAGAGCTAGATCAGCATGAATGAGTTTCCTGACCCTGTCCAGGAAATTTACACCTGTCCATACACACTCTTCACCTACCTTGGGTATAGGGCCCACCCAAGGCCGGGATCATGGAGCTCCGAGCTGGAGGCAAGCCAAATGGGGACTTCAGCTCCTTCTGTGGTTAGAGCAGCACAGAGAAACCCTAGGTAAAGTTGCTAGATAAATTACTGGACACCCATTTAAATTTGGATTTCAGATAAACATGGGATATACTTGTATTGAAAGAGTTTTACTTATCTGAAATTCAAATTTAATTGGTCATCCTCTATTTTTGTTTGATAAATCTGGAAACCCTAGCTTTTGGCCATCACTAGCCACCCAGAAACCATTCAGTAGTCATGGTAGAGAGCACCAGGGATTGGAGCTCCAAGGCCTATGGCCTCAGGCCCTCCTGGCAATGGCGGCTGAGCTGCGCATAGCCCTTATGCTCAGCTCCTGGCCACAGATCAGTTGCGCAGCAGTGGCAGACTTTTTCCACTGAGCCTGGCCCACTGAGCCACCATCCCAGCACCTTCCTCAGGCATGTGGTGCTGAGGAAGTCCTGTCTCTTCTCCGTGGTTGTTGTAAGACAGATCACTAATGGGGGTGCAGTGCATGCTATCTGCTACCCTCATCAATAATTGGTTTTTGTAAATGAAACCAGAGGAGGTTGTCTTGGGTACTAGCCATGGTTTCTCTCAAGTGTACACACCTGTCCACATGCAGGTACAGGTTCTCCCATGTGCCTGCACCATCCCCTTCCCCTGAAAAGCCACATGGTGGTAACTACTAGAATTGCAAGTATATGATCTAGAAGGAACTGACCAAACTCTTCAGTGCCGTTTCTCCAACTTTAGTGTGCATTAGAACCCCCAAGTATGAAGCTCCTTGGGCTCCTCTTTCAGCAATTCTAAAATTGCTGAAATGGATCTGAAATGGACCCAGAAATCTGCACTTTAATGCAGGCTCTTGGGTGATTCTTATGCACTTGGTCCAAGGATCCCACTTTAGGGAATGTCACTTCAAAGGTTCATCTTGTGAATCCAGCAGCAGGCACTACAGTATGAGTATAGGGACAATCAAAGTCAGAATTTGAAATGGAACCTAAGGCTGGCTGTGGGGGGATGGGTGGGGGGGGCGGTGTGTGTGTGTGTGTGTTTTCAAAACCATGTATTGAGCACCTGCTATATTCCTAACATTAGATTAGATGCTTTGCATAAGAGCATTCTATGTATCCTCACAAGTGCCTATGCCTTTCCTTCAAAAAGGAAACTGAGGCTGGAAGAAGTAAAACAACTTGCTTGAAGTTCCACAGCCAGTAAGCGACACCACTGAGATGTGAATTCAGGTGGTCTGTCCCTAAAGCTCTGTCCTCTTCATCATGCTGCCTCCCTTCAGCCAGGGCTTCTGAACCCAGGGTTTGCAGATGACCTTCAGGGGTCTCTGAGTCAACTGAAATCGCATGTAAGCCACTGTGTGGTTTGTGTTTCTCTCGGGTAAAGACCCATAGCTTTCACCACACAAAGCAGCCACCAAATAACTTTTTAATCATTGCATTAGCAATAGCATTTTATAAAACACATTGTTGGTGGGCGTGTAAAGATGGAACAAGTTCTGTAGGGGACAACTTAGCACTATCGAGATTATAAGGTTTATGTCCTTCGACCCAATTCCACTCCTAGGAATTTATTCTATAAACACACTCCCACACTTGGGAAATGACAAATGAACAAGATTATTCATTGCAGCATTATTTACAAAAGCAAAAGGATTGGAAACAACATAAATGTCCAGCAACTGGGGCCATAAAAGAAGATAGAGTGCAGCCGCAACAAAGGATGAGGAAGCTCCCTGTGCGCTGACCTGAAAGACTCCAGATACCTTAGGTAGAAAAAGTCAAATAACAGTCTATCAAATGCTACTCTTTGAGTGAAAAAGGGTATTTATGTGTGTATCTATTTTATCATGTACATACATACACACAAATATACTTATATTCATGTATACACACAAGTTCATATGTGAGTATGCATATCATTTCTCAAATTAGCACAATAAATGAAAAACATTTAGATTAGTTGCCAATGGGGAGTAAAACTAAGTGGCTGGAGTAAAGATTGACCATGGCACATCTTATTGAAACGTTGAAAATTTTGTTTCACACGAGCAAAACCTGTGTTTACATTCACAAGTAATAATAAAACAAAAGCATCACTGTACACAGGGATTTACTCTGTGTTTCAACACTGCTTCTCCCAAGTGTCAGAGGGTATTGGCATGGTCCTGACTAAAGCTTATTATTATTTTTTTACTTCTTACTTTGGAATAATTATAGACACACAGGAAGTTACAAAAATACTACAAAGAGTCCTACATACCCTTTACCCAGCTTCCCCAATTGGTGACATCTTACACCCGTGTTGTACAGTATATTTCAAAGCCAGGAAACTGGCACTGGGATACTGCTAACTAGACTACAGATCTTACCCTAAAGGTTTTTTTTAAGCATAAATTTCTCACAGCTCACTCATCCATTTAAAAATGCTTACTTGGGCGCCTTTCGTGTGCCAGACATCACGCTGGCCGGTGGGATGTGGCAGCAACACCTCAGACCATCCCTCCCTCATGTCAGGTAGACCAGTGAAGGTGATCCCTTTTCTCCACTGGGAATAGTGTCATGGAGGCCTGGGATCCAGCAATGCACAAGGAGTGCCGACCACAGCTCTAAAAACGGAACTGTGTCCCTTGCTATCATGGAGCTTCACAGCTTGCCCAAAAGCTGACTTTTAATCCTTAAAAGAGCATGAGCAATTACTCTGGCTATATTTATCCTTGTTCCTGGAGCCACACAGGGATTTGGCCTCGCTCTACCAAAATCTTCAGCTCTTCACTCATTCCCATCAGAGACAGTCATGTGTCCTCAGCCTAAAGCAGGGGCCTGGCAGAGGCACACTGGCACATAGCTCGGGGAGGCTCTCCCAAAAGGCCATTTGATCCAAGGCCAGGGACGAAGTTTTAGAGTGTCAGGCAAAAGGCACATCCTGGGACCAAGGGAAGCCAAGCAAGGAAAAACAACTTCTCGCCAAGAATGCTGCCAGCTCTGCAATCGCTTGCTGGGATGACTTCACTGGGTGTTTTGACTTCCCTACCCCTTTTAGGCTTAGGAACTCTGTGATATGCTCGGCACTCAGGCCTGGATGAGTGAGTGAGCAAATAAGAGATCACATCTGCAGGAATTGTACCCAGGCAACAATGACAGGTGTCACTTACCGAACATGGTGCCAGGCACTGTCAGCCACTTTACATATATGGTAGAGTTCATCCTCACCAAATCCCAGTGGTGTGGGGCTTCTCACCCTCATGACCTAGATGGGGAAACTGAGATGCAGAGAGGTCAAGACGCTTGCTGATATCTTGCAGGGCATAAAGCCAGATCTCTCTGACTTTAGAATTCCTGGGTGGCAGGTTTGAGACTGCAAACTGAAAACATAGGTGTCTCTCTCCCTCCCACAATCCTGTTAAAATGATAGCAAAGAACTCTTTAAAAAAGAATAAATCCCTAGCCACAAAGGAATGGAGGGTGGGGGCAGGCATGAGTGAACAGGTTTCTGGAAGCTGGCAAGAGCATGGAGGAGAGGTGCCTAACGAGGCAGGGAGAAGGAAGCTTCAGCCTAGACCTTGACAACACCTAGAGAGGGAGTTCACCAGCTCTGAGATCCCTGAGAGGCTCTGGAGTTGGAATGCCAGGTGTGACAAGGACAGGAATGAGTTATGGAGCCAGAGAGGGGATAAATTAAAGTTTGTTGACAGAAGGGGCAGAAAGGGAATTAATTCAAGGAATTTTTATACTAGATTTGGACTAGATGCCATCAGGCTAAGGTCAAAAAGCACTATAAACAAATATTGAATAGACTTCTTTTTCATAGACATATATATTAGCAATTTTGAAAATACTTCCTTTGTATTCTAGGGTTGAACAAATTAGTAAATATTGGATAATGAGAGCCAAATTTCTCACTGTCAAAGGAGGGAGTTACAAATATGAAAAAAGAGGGAAGAGAGAATAAACCATGCAGTATTATGTTAGAATTATGAGAATTGAAGTAAACTAGACTGCTAGATAGGTAGGTAGGTAGATATATATATCTATATATAGATAGATAGATAGATAGATAGATAGATAGATAGATAGATAGACAGATAGATAGTCTGCCACCATATAAGACATGACTTTGCTCCTCATTCATCTTTCACCATGATTGTGAGGCCTCCCCAGCCATGTAGAACTGTGAATCCATTAAACTTCTTTCTTTCCTTTATAAATTACCCAGCCTCAGGTATGTCTTTATTAGCAGCATGAGAACAGACTAGTAATGTAAATGGGTACCAATAGAGGGGACACTGATATAAAGATACCAAAAAATGTGGAAGCAACTTTGGAATTGGGTAACAGGGAGAGGCTGGAACAGCTTGGAGGGCTCAGGAGAAGACAGGAAAATGTGGGAAAGTTTGGAACTCCCTAGAGACTTGTTGAATGGCTTTGACCAAAATGCTGATAATGATATGGACAATGAAATCCAGGGTGAGGTGGTCTCAGATGGAAATGAGGAACTTGTTGGGAAATGGAGCAAAGGTGACTCTTGCTATGTTTTAGCAAAGAGACTGGTGGCATTTTGCCCCTGCCCTGGAGATTTGTGGAACTTTGAACTTGAGGGAGATGATTTAGGGTATCTGGCAAAAGA